TTACTCACCAGTGGTTGGCTACCCGAAGCCATTCCCAACCTTCTGCCTTGCCACGCCCTTTGGCGTTGTCTCTACCGCTAGGAGTAACCACGTGATCCGCTCCAGCCAACGAGGGGTGGGAGGATGTCTGCTGGGGTCTTTGGGACGAGATTTGTCTACCCAGTGGGGAAGCATGCACAGAGGAGACCTCTGTCCTGTGCCGCCCCCTGCTTCCTGCCTTCAGTGGTATGAGGATGTGATGCTTGGAGCTGCCAAGGTAGCCAGCTTGTAATTGTGAGAGCAAGAGAGTCAGAAATTCTAACCCAGAGCCTGTCTTCTTTTCAATGAGATGAGACACATCTGCCACATAAACTGTCACTTGTTGGACCACCTGCTGTTCCAGCTGAAGTCATTCTTAACTGATACAGAAAATATGGAGGAATACAAAGTTTTTGGTGGGCTTGGAGGTGTGCAGGTCTGTAACACTAACAGGGGAGCCACTGAGCAGCTGCCGGAGGGCTAGTGTGGTGGTGAGTGGGTACAGGTGGCAAGGCTGGGCCGCACTTCTAAGAGGCTTGTGAATGGTAAAGAGTAAGATGACATGGTATCAGCAGGGGTACATGAGGACTTCTATGTCACTGCTGTCACCTTAGCTCTGGCAGAAGACTGAGGAGCACATAGACTTCTTAGTGAACTTTCGACATCCAAGCACCTAGTAGGTGCTCATCAAACGGTCACTGCTTTACCATTCCATGAGATCACTCTTAGACATATTATACTCTGGGTAAATGTTGGATGTTCTGGAGCTTACTGTTCTGCAGACATATCCCAGCTGTCTGTCCCTTGGAGGTAAGCAGAGCGATCAATGGAAAGGACATCGGCTTTGGAGTCAGACTGAATCCACTTACTTGCTGTATATACTTGAGGCGAACTCCTGAGTATCAGGATCCTCTCCTGTAAATGGATCTAAGAATACCTACTTCACAAGGTAGATATGGAGGTAAATAATACATGAAAATGCTGGTATGCAGCAGGCCCCAGAGTAACAAGAGAGCTTGTGGCGGTCACTGCAAGTTGCCTTTCAAACATCAATCTTCTCTTTCCTAGTAGAGCCCCACTTTAGTCCAGGGGTGTCCTCCTCTGAAATGAGGAAACCCAGGCTCAGAGAGCTGAAGTGGCATTTCTGAAGTCCAACCACCTAAGAATCAGAGGCAGCACTTGAACACAGGTCTTTGGGTTCCCAACCCATTCTTCTAATACCCCTCCTTTTTGGAGGAATTAGCACATTTAGCCAGCATAACAACTAGTATTTATAAATTCTAAAATGTAGTCTGCTTTTCCCCACAGAGACAGAAGCCACGGTAGCTTTTCTGACCTAGACTTGGAAGTGACCTACCATCCATACATGACATATTCTACTGGTCACACTGGCCAACCCTAAAAGAATGCAGAGGGGTACCCCACAAGGCTCTGCAGTACTGGGAAGTGAGGCTCACTGAAGACATTCTTGGAAGCTGGCTACCACAGCAGCCATCTTAACATTATGATGAAAATAGTTTTGACTTTATCATCTTCCAAAAGGGTTTGGAAACCCTGTGGGGTCCAGGGACCATGATTTGAGATCCACTGACCTCAAAAATCTAAGCTCTCATCAGTGTACATAATTTATGCTGAATTATTTTGAGGATGATTCTCAGATCTTTCTCTTCTGCAGATTTATCTGACTTTGTCCGATCTCACTTTAAAAACAACTAAGCCAGAAGGGGGCCAGACCCAGTATTTCCTGTCTATGATGCGAGTGTGGTGAGGGGAGAGCAGAGCAGGTGTTCTGCAGGGTGGACCTCGTGTCTCACTCAAAATAGCTCATCAAGGACTTTGGCATTTATGTGTTCATCTTAAATTTTCCTCAGTATTTTCAGTCTGAATCACCTTCTTGGCTAGTCCTTTCCACAAAGTACCTGTATCAAGTAGTAACTTCTCTCCTTTGTCCTAAAGGCCTCCACTGAGCATTCCTGAGATGGGCTTGATTTCTACACGCTGAGACTTGGCAAATACACCCATGTACAATTCGTCCAAACACTCTTCAAGACTTTTGCGATGCTAATCTTTGTTGCTTCAGAAGAGTCCTGATATTTTTAGTATGTGACATAATTGTGCTACACCCCTGTGGTCACATTGATCCCCTCGTCTGGGTGGATGTCCTCCTGCACTGTTTTCTTCTCAAGCATGGAGAGCAGAGCTTGAGCACATAGCCTGCATTCAGCTACACTGAAGTTTGTACTGGGGAAGGGCAGAAGGGTTCCATTTTCCTGTTTGTCACAGTATCAAAGTCCAGTTTTCACAGTGGATCATAGTCATTTATCCAGCTGCCTCCTTAGAGAAATATGCCCCCTCCCTTGGCCCTTTCCTCCCCGCTTCCATGAGGCTGTGGTGGGGCTGTCATACTCCACCCCTTTGGCCAAAGTGACTAGTCAAAGAGTAAATATCCAGGTTGGGCCTGCCAGGGCCTGGGAATACTTTCAGGGAAGGCAAACAGGAAGGCCCTATTGCCTAGTCTAGAGTCAGACTGGAAGCAGCAGCCTGGAACTACCCACAGCAGTGTTTTCTATCCCCACTTTCAGTAGACGAAAATGTAGCCAAATAAGACAAACAATGCCAAGAATAAGACAAATATAGAGGTTAAGAATCTGGATTCACTCCAGCCTGAGGCTAGTTCCAACTTCCTTCTTCCCAGTGATGACTCAAGAATGGCCAGTAGATTTAGGTTTCCACCACTTACCAGTGAAAGGAGCCCTCATACTTTTTAGGCCAAATTATATCGCAGGGATCTGCTCCCTACAGGAGCATGTTAGAAGAAAATGAGCCGAGAGAGCGCAGCGACCATCTAGAAAGAGAAGGGGCTGGCCAGACAGAACCCGGGTAAGCATTTCATGGCAACACATAATTGGGTGCCAGGGAAAGACACTCCCATGGACTTGGTGGGAGTGCAAATGGGTGCACTTTTTGGGACGGCAGTCTGGCAATACCTCAAGATTTGAAATGTTCCTGATCTTTGGGCCAAAAATTCTCTCACTGCAACAGTTTGTTGTGGTAAATAGTTGGCAATGACCTCAATGTTAGCATCAATAGGGGATTGGTAATTGTGGAAACACGTCCAACTTTTGTTAAGGGGAGAAAAGTTATAGAAAGCATTTTATAGATGTGTTTAGTGTGTGCAAAGCTTGGATGATCACACATTGAATAGTCAGCAGTGGTGATCTCTATGGGGAGGACAGCAATTACAGAAAACTCACTGTATGAGCTTAGAATAATTTTGAGATTGTTTCTGAAGCTGTAAGAAAATGGCATGGTGTTTCCCTTTCACTCCTAGTACCAAGATTTGTTTTCTCTGAGTTTTAGGATCTCTGGCCCCAGGGGTTGGTTTACTTATTACTTTGCTCATTTACTTGAACAAGGATTGAGTGATTGAGTACCAGCTATGTTAGGCACTCTTCCTCTAAATCGAATTAAATCGGCTATGATCTCTTGCTGTGGTGGGTAAAAACGCAGTCTGTCCTTTCCTTCCCTCCCACGCCAAGTGTGCCAAGGCTGTGGCACCAGGTGTCCAGGCTCCCCTGGCATCCCCATCTCAGCTTGGGATGGGGCCTGCTGCCACATGCGGTGGGCATATAACAGCGAAACAGAGTAATTACACTCACGGATCTTATGACTGCAAAAATATGAAAAGTCTCGGAAGGTGAGAGTGCTACAGAGCATAGTGGAAAAGCAGGGGAGAGAGTACAGGGGTGGTGACGGTACGATCCTATTATATATAAAGTGGCCGGGCAAAGCCTCATTGAGAAGGCTTTCTTTAAGAGACCCAAGGGGCAGGAGAAAGCAAGCCATGCAGCTCTCGGGGAAAGGGTCTTCCAGGCGCAGGGAGGTAGTCTGCTAAGACCCTTGAGCTGAAGCATGCTTGATGAATTTGAGGCCGTAAGGACTATGGAGCTGGACCAGGCAATGAGAGATGACGCCAGAGATAAGGGAGAGGGGTGGGGCAGCATGCCGGTGAGAAGTCATTAGAGGGTTTTGGACCAAATTTAAGATGACTACTCTGGTTGCTCTGCTAAGACCAAATAGAGGGCAGAAGGGTAGAAGCAGAAGACACCAGTTCAAAAGTGATTACAGTGATGCAGGTGAAAGAAAATGGCTTGGACTGTGATGGTAGAAGTGGCTGGGCTTTAACGTGTTCTGACAGTACAGCTGATGGATTTGCTGGACAGGATGGGGAGCATGAAAGTAGTGCCTATGACTCAGGACCCAGTGTGGAGGTTCTCAGACCCCTGGAAAACAACTCTTCTCCCAGGACTGAGGTCTGAGCCCACTGAGAGGGATTCCAGAGTCACCCCAAAGAGGCACCAGTGCAAACTAGTGCTTTGAATTGAAGGAGGTAGAGAAGGACAGAACCAGGGTAGAGAGGGTGGATTAGGGGTTTTCTGTTACAGGGCAGACCCGTGCCCCGTGTGCAGCAGGCCCTATCCCAAGCCGAGATGGGGATGGCCCAGCCAGGCAGCCAGGGGAGCCTGGATGCCTGGTGTCTGCCACAGCCTTGACACACTTGGCTTGGGAGGGAAAAAAAGATGAAAGACTCATAGCCAGATATAATTCGATTTAGAAAAACTAAATGTTATTTCCTGTATTTATGTCTTGTGAAGCAAATCAAGACATATCATACACATTTTACAATGTTTCACTTTTGCTTTTAAAGACATATGCATTATTTTTGTAATTAGAATAAAAACATTCTAGAAAGAATGGTGAAATGGTCAACAGTAATCAGTTAATTTAGAGAGGGTGATGGAGTTAGACTGTTGAAAACAAGTGGTGTCTTCAAAGAGCGGGATGGAAGCCAGATGGCAAGTGATTAAGAACAGAAAAAGAGGGTATGCAGAAGGGAAGCAGTAAACACCAGCAAATGCTCATTTGAGAAACTTGGCAAAGGAAGGAAAGAAATCAACGAATGGGAAGAACAAACATGCCACGCAATTCTGAATAATGTTTATTAAATAATATGTACAGCAAATGTGTAATTCAACACATCTCTTTATCAAATCAACCCACTGCAAAAAGAAAAATAAATGAGCAGAAAAATCTGTGTCTGCACAGTACATGCTCTTGGTGTGTAATTTAAATGGCAATACTTTAAATTAATTGGTTATATATAATTCAGTTACTTTTCTTTCAGAATATAATCTTTGTAGTAACCCATTCTAGCAACAGAACTTAATGCTACTGTAGATAAATAGGACTACAAAAAAAAAAATCAAAAACAAAATAAAAAAACTGTAGCTGAGATATCAGTTACCTCCTCTCCCAGGAAGAATACTTAAAATTTTAACACTTTACAGTGGCTATTTTTGTGCTAAAAATCTGTAGGTGAGTTATTTGGAATTCCTTCATTTAAATAAAAATGCAAAAAACTTCATGACTTCCTTTTTTTACCCCACTTAAGTTCAAATTTTTAAAATTACTTTTTCTATACAAAGTAGGTACATGGGCTATACAAAGTTAAATATACATATTTACAGTCCCACTTCTTAAGCATGTGATTTTTTTTTTCTTTCACTGATCCCAGAGAGACTGCAAAAGATAAGTAGTTTGGGGCTTGCCTTGACCCAGAAGCATGGCAAATATATCAAAATGTGTTGCAAATCATGGTGCCAGTTAGTTGCATTTGCTATTAATAAACCTGTATAAACATCTCAGCATAAAAATAGGTATTTTATATTACTAAATGTCTGAAGACAAAAGAGCATTTGGAAACCTTTGTTTCTTGTTTTCTAATACATAGGAAGCTGAAGTTTAATGCAAGTTTTTATTAAAGACGGGCAAATTGGTGAGGCATACCTGGGTTTCTGAAGATATACAAATGCGTGAGGCTGGCATCATATGCAAATGTGGCTTTACAAATTGGTTTTATTTTCTAGCTGTATTTAAAGAGGTGTTCAAAATTACCTACTTAATCAAGAAGCACCCCTCAAAAAACTATTAGATAAGATTGTGTTCCTAATAGTTTGCATCTAAGAAAGACCAAGAAACACATTAGCCAATACAAGAATTACATTCCAAAGTGGGTGAAATGCTGCTGTGCAAAACGCACATGCAAATGTACTTGGAGTATATGCCCTCAGAGAGAGAGAGTGTGAATCAAAAAACCAGTGCCTTAAATGGTGAAGTGGACTTTCGAAGGCAATGAGTCTTATTCTAAGGGACAATAAGAAGGCCCTTGCTATTCAGGAAGCTCCTCCACCCCGACCTCTACCCTACACCACACCCAAGTTCCTCAGCCTTTTTTTCCCTTGGGATTAAGGCTCTGCTCTGTCCTAATTAAAAACAAATGTCTTCTTATGGTCACTTCAGTGTGAAGGGCTCAGTGGCAGTTTCTTTCCTGAGAGCAGGATTTGAAAGCAGGACAGGGAGAGAGTGAGGGTACTCTGGCTGGCTGATGGCGGGTGGGCAGCAGATTGGATACTAAGAGTAGCAGGGGACAGAAGCTGACTCACTGAAGACAAACTATGCCTACTTATAATAACTCCAGACTTTGGGACAGTAGTCCTAGGGCAATTCTGAGCTAATGTAAAGCCAGGGATCCTGAACACACCCTACTACCTAGGATTGCTACTCTTGTTTTTGTGACCTTGGCTGTATATTTGTGGGGAGGATGAAAGTTTAAACATTCTGGAAACAGTTCCAAGTATCTCCAGCCATAAACCACTACCCTTGGATAAAGGTTCTTCCAGCACCATCATTGTTCAGAAGTGAGCTAATGGAGACAGAAATATGACAATGCTTTCTAGGATCCATCCAGGGGAAATTCATCTCTTCCTCTCTCACGCCCTTCTTAGCACGTATCACAGTCTCTCTTGATTCAGTATTTTTTTGGGTGTCTGCCTCCCCAATCACTAGAGTCCCCAGCAAGCAGGGAACAGGTCATTTCTATCTTTATTTCCCCAAAGAGTCTAACCAAGAGGCTGAGAAACATCCTGGAACTGGAGAGAGCTGTGCCTGAACACTCCAGGTGTCAAAGGGGCCTCCCTCCTCAGATCTGGGACCCACGAAAAAGACCTCTAGGGAGTGGCAGAATCAATGCCTCCCGCTTAGGGCCACTGCTGCTGCCTCTTCCGCTCTGAAGAGATGCCTCCCCAGGGGCATCAGGATCCATAACCCTGGGTGACTATATTTTGAGCGGTCCTTGAACTCCTATGGGGAGTAAAAATGGAGACATGGAGGGTACCTCCTAAGGCTTGGAGTACGTCTTGCTCATCGGTAGGCCTGGCCTCTGTGTATGTCAGTGTATGGTAAATAAATCACTGAACACTACTCTTGGTTCTCAGTGAGAATAGACCTACCAAACCCAAACTACCCTGGTCAAAAACAGTCCAGGAAAGAAAGGTTAACAGTGGCATTCTGATAAATGAAACTGCTGCCCCGAAGGCGACTTGCTAAAAGCCAGCGATGTGGAAAAGGACCATACTGCACATGACCTCCAGAGGCACAGGATCCCCGGGAACCACAATGAACTATCTGCCTGGCCATCCTGCTGCCATGGCAAACCTTGTGTGCTTCTCTGGCAGAAGTGAATGCAGAGGGCACCTAAGTCTTGCCTCCATTTCCCCATGTACCTCAGCGGGACAAGTGAGGGACTTGGTCTTGGGTAGTTTGGGAGCCTCCACCACTGTCTAGGGATGGCCTGGCAGCCCAGACTGATCTCCAGCAGTTTTTGGGGGGTCAGCAGGCTCCAGGGTGGCTGGGGATCTGCCTGGCACTCCGAGGGTGGATTCATGCTAAACGTTCTGGAGCCACAGCTGGTCAAGGCTGGGGCAGCAAGAAGCATTTCTGGCCTAACTGCTCCTGGGCTGTGCTGCAGGTCAGATTACCCAAGAGGGGAGAGGAGGGCAAGGCTGGAGTGGCTCCCAGAAGCACTAAGTAAATACAGATTTGCCTCATTCCTTTGTGCTCAGCACATGGTTCAGCCCTGTCTGACACACAGCAAGCTTAGGCAGGCTCAGGTTTTAGACACAACACTTCTCTGTCCCTTTCTTTTGCTTCTTATTGTATCCACTGCATTAGTTTTCCTACTGACTCAACATTTAAATAAAGAGACTGGTTTGTGAATTCTGCTCCATCCTCCAGTAGAAATAATCTGTTTTTCACTCTTCTTACAGATATAAAGGCTTTACATAGTTGCCTGGAAAAGTACCAAACTGCCTTGTCCTTCTTGAAGTACCTATAAAAAAAAAACACATGCAAAATGAGAAGACTCACTGTGTGAGCTGAGAGAGAGCCCTTGATAGCGCTCCTGCAGTCTGTAGAGTAACATGCGGTTTCCAAAGCACTTTCCCCTCTTATCTCATTTAGGCTGCAAAAATAAAGCTAGGTGAAAGCAAGGCAGGCATTTTTATTACTTCTGCTTTTTTCAGATGAGGAAACCTACTTTCAAAGAGTGTAAGTGACACTGCTGAGGTCCCACAGCTTAAAGAGCCTCAGAAGCAGACTGTGAACCCAGGTCTTTTGATTCCCAGCCAGCTACTCTTTCCAACACATCTGTTTTGTGGAGGAATGAGCACATTTATCCAACACAAGATACTTGGTATATAAAATTTCTAAACTGTAAGATTTCTAAAAGCCCATTAGATATGACCACATATCAAAAGGAAATTCCTCCCAGAAACCTGTGCCTGAGCCCCAAACTGACTGCCATCTTTGCTCCCAACCGTGTCAGGGTTCCTGCTGAGCCAGGAACACTGAACTATCTCGGACAAAGTCCTCCCTGGGCTGCTCCATACCCAGCCTTGCTGGATCCCTAAGCTGGTCCCTTCCCTTGGAATTCCCTCACTAAAGCCGGAGGCCGAGGGTGGGTGGCGGGTATATGTTGCGTCATCGTTACCCTCTCATTAGCAGACGTCATAATTTCGTCAGTGAATCCCTCTCCCAGCTGTCTTGGCCATGGCTTCCAAATTCTGTTGAATGCATTTCAAGCAGCCACTCCCAGTGGGCTGCAGTGGTTGCCCAAAGTAAAACTTATTAAAAGAATGTGTCAAGGCTAAAGATATCTAAAGACATTTGGAATAACTAGTTGAACCCTAGTAGGGAGGGATAAGGGGGTTGTAGAGAACTGAGATGGGAAGGCCCAGAAATGTGCTCATTTAACTGGTTAGCACATTTTCTTATGGATGAGAAAAATCAGGAATTAAGGAGTATTTCCTTTACTAGCTTCTGGGAATGCCCTTAGAGAACTGGTGTCCCTCACCCTACCTTAAGCTCTCATAGAAAAGCTCACTGCATCTAAGAGAGTTTAACAGTTAATATATCCTAGAGCTGTGCTCACTAACAGAGTGGCTACTTGTGGCTACTGAGCACTTGAAACATGGCTATTCTGAATTGAGCTATATTGTAATTATAAAACATACATCAGATTTCTAAGACAGTGTGAAAACAATGTAAAAATGTCTCACTAAAATTTTTTACACTTATTTCATGTTCAAATGATATTTTGACTGCATTAGCTTTAATAAAGCACATCATTAATTTTACTGGTTTTGTTTTACTGTTTTCAAGTGGCTTCCAGAAAATTTTAAGTTTCATATGTTTGCAGTGGGCTGCACTGCACTAGAGCATTGCTGACTTCTTGGATCTTGTTTCCCTCTGAACAGAACTCAAGGCAGTGAGGGCCACAGGCTTCTGGGAACCTTGGGAGTACAGCAGAACTTTCTAAGAGGCTGGTGAGGCCAAGGCCAATCTCTCTGGCCTCCCACTGATGATGCCGAGGCCTTGCTGTTCTGACCACCCAGCCCTGATATGACTTGACTTTAGCAAAGCTTTTCCAGAGAGATCAGGAAAGAGCTGGCCTTCAGAAAGATGATAAAGTAAGGCCATTTGAACAAGGGGAAAAGTGAGGCAAAGTGTCAGTGCCTCCCAACATCATATTCATGCCTGAGCAGAAACAGCAGAGGCCTGTGGAGAAATGGACCTGAGTTCAAATCCTGATCCCACTATCTGTTACCTCAGTGACCTTGAGCTACTTAACCTCTTTGAGATTCTTAGTTTCTGAATCTGTGAAATGAGGATAATTCTTGTCTTACTGGCTGTTTGTTGAGAGAATTTCAATAAGGAAGTGTACCAAGTGTCTACTTGGTAACAGAAACTCAATAAATGTCAATCATCCTTCTCCCCTCTTCTATAAAGGTGAATCCTTTAAATAGGTTGCTTTAAGTAAAATGATTAGGATCCTAGAGTAAATAAGTCTTTGGAATGTCTACATATATGCTTGAGTTTCATGGTAGAGACCTAGGCTCACTCAAATTTTGTGTTGTTTCATTAACAGTTTTAGAAAATAAAACTTCCAAATGCAGAACAGATATATGCATGACAGAAATACAAACAGAACTTAGTTAATGAATCTGACATTTGTCCTTTCATTGGCCTATTTGTTTTTCAGTCTAACATTAAGTCTTGAGAGCAAACACACCGGGTACCGAGCATCCCTCATGGTGGAATAGCAGTCAGCTCTTCTTTCTGTGCAGAGAATGTTGCTTTTTGCATGGCTCATCATTCCTAGTCATTCCTTCAATAAGCCACGAGTAAGAAAGGTGCGAGGAGATCACTTACCAACAAACCACCCATCATCACATTTTTCCATGACATCAACAATATCTCCATCTCGAAGTTCCAACTCATCATCATTCTGCGGCATATAGCTATATAATGCTTGGTAACTAAATCTGTAGGTGAGAAAAATGAGTGTTAATAAGTGACTCAAATACTGATAGGATTAAATAATGAGTTTTAAAAGCCCATTAAGTTAAATCAACATTTAGTATTTCCTACTCATCAGGGGGAGACAAATATTTTATTGGCTATTTCTCTAATAACTTAGCTTTGGGGGTGATCCACTCAGCATATAATGAGTCAATTAAGACTGACAGGGATGGGAGTCATCAGTGTTTTTACTTAGTTTCATTTGGTTCCCATAGCTAGGCATTTTGTGCAGAAGTGCCCTTCCACCCCTTTAAAGCTAACCAAGGCTTTTTCCTAACATAGGATAATATATGTAGTTTGTCAAGGATAATCAAAAGTTACCTTCATGCAGAGATAGACATTATATCCTGGTCTTATACACTGGAGAGCCTAAGACAATTGTCATATATATATATATATACACACACACATATATATATATATACACACACACATATAATATAATTGTCATATTTATATAAAGATATAAAAAAATACATTCTAATTGCCCATTTAGCAAAACTACCTTGAGTTTCTTAATGTGCTGATATACATTTCATTAACTGCTGTTAAACGTAGATGTCATTTTTCCTGAAACTCTTGAAAGCTTTTTGCTTTTTTTCTATCCTAGGGATGTTTGGGGTTAAGGTTTTTATTTCCTTGCTTTCTGGCCTAAGGCAATTTGGTCTGTGCTGCTCTGCCTGTTGGAACAGCTGCCTCTGGAGAAAGTTGGACTACTTGTGAAATCTGGTATCTGCTTTGGCAACAAAGAAACGTTTGTTTTCATTTATTCCGTTGACAAATACTTAAGATCTTAACATCTACTGTGCACCAGTTCACAATTCTGTTTACTCACTATTTTGAGAAACAATAGCAGGTAAATTTGCAAATGAGCCAATCATCTACCATTTTAGTACATATCAGTGAATTCCAGCATGTGGGCAAGAGAGACTAGGAACAAGTAAGTGGAGTCCATTCCCAAAGGCAAGAGGTTCATTCTCCCCTGCTGAAACCAAAGGGACAAGTTAATTTTATATATTTATCCAGTGTGACTGATATTTTGGTAGATGGATCTGTCTGCCAGAAGGTCAGTCTCTAATGAGGCATTAAGAGATGAAGACAGATTTCCAGTTAGTAAATACAGTTTTGATATTTCTGTATTTGCCTGCTGTTTCCTACCCAATTTGGACCTCTCAGAATGCCTTATTCCCTTAACTTCCACCAGGGCAGCTTTGCTAGCTTCAGCTCTGAGGACCGGCTCAATACCTGCCTGTGTTCTCCCTCTTGGACGGTGGGGACCAGCAGAAGTCCCATTATCTTGCTGCTTGGGTTCCCCCAGTCAGTGCTAATTTTGAATTGGCTTCACGCTGCTCAGGATACTGTCCTGTTGAGTCCTTTCCCTACCTTCTCTGCCAATTACGGGGTGCCATTCTCAGGAGAAGGCTCTTCACTCCACCCCATTTACTGAGATGCAGCTTGCTGCGGGTAGCACTTTAATTTTCCTCCCTTCCAGGTTCAAGCCTCTGTACCTCCCCTCTTCCACACGCCCACCCACTCAGCCCTGTTGCCACGTGTGAGGGTGGGTACCTTCTCCTGGCTATGCGGAACGCTCTTTCCTGGGCACTTTTCTTAACTTGCATCTTTTTAAATCTTCTGACTCTGTCAACTCTTTTTCTTCTACAAAAAATACGCTAAGTCTCTGTACCTAAAAAAATCACCTCCCCCATCCCTTTACTCCCTTGATCTATAGCCTCCACTCCTTCAACTCACTATCAAAGCGACCCATTAACCTTTCTAACTTACCCTCTACCTCTGCCTCTCTAACACCTGTTTCAGAGGTCGCCAGTGGTTTTCCCAGGTGCCCAGCAGAACATCTGAGGACGTTTCTCACTCCCTCCCTCCCTCAGCCTCTCTAATGCAGGTGCTGTGCTGACCTAGCGCTTCTTGCTCTGTTCCCCACAGGTAAGTGCCCCCGGGCCCTCTCCTTCATCCCACACTATTCCTGCTCCATCTCCTTTGTTGGGTACCCCTTTGTTGCCTTAAAAGTTGATTCCCCAAGGATCTATCCTCATTTCTCTTCTCCCTTTACCTCTTGTCTCCTTGGTACTCTTACAGCTTCCACGGTCACAAAGTGTCCACTCTGTCCTAGCTCAAAGGCCCTCATCCCGTCTTTGCTGGATTAATATCTCCTAACCAGGATCTTTGTCTCTGAAATCCACCCTTCACTATGTTGCCAGAGTTGCCTCCCTAAAACAGAATAGAATATATTCCTCATTTCACAATCCTCTAGTGGCTCTTGAGTACCTACAGAAGAAAATGCAGACTTATTTCAGTTGCATTCTGGATTCTGCAATCTGGTTCTAACCTACTTCTGGAGCTTCCTCTCTGCTTCCTCCGTGAACTGTATACTTTGGCCACATGGACCTTCTCCAAGTTCTCCAAACATACCACCTATCCTAAGCCTTTGCACATGTGGTTTCCTCAACGGAGGACCTTTCAACTCCCTGTTCTAGCCCTCAAACCCAATTTGTCCTTCAATACTCATTCCAAATCTCCTTTTGTCTGTGAACAAAGTTTACTACTGTGTGCTTAAACTATAGGAGACATCTAACAATTCTTTTCTTGAATGAATGGATCCACCCTATCCATGCATCTCCAGTCAGAATGAACCACTCCTGCCTCCATATTCCCACAACACCTGGACAAAGACCAGTCAGCACAGCTCTCATTTGCTCTTGTCTGGCAGTTAATTCTTCACCTGCCTTCATGACCTCTTTCATTTACCCACCGCCTGTTTTCACACTCACTGATGGAAAATCCTAGAGAAGTTGCGAGTGACTGGTTCACTCCCCCAAGTAGGTGCCCCCATAGTCAGTCAATGATCTACTTCTAAAGCCAGCAGTTTGCAAAGAATGCGATTTGCCAAAGTGTACTTACAAATCTTGTGAGGTTTGACTCCTGTCTGGGGTGACTCTTCGCTGCTGGGCTTGAGGTTGCTGAGAAATGATTAAAGATGATTTATTGTCAGAAGGGGATACCTTGTGATGGAAGTCAAGGGGATGAGAAACAGTGCTGCAGTAATGAACAGATTTTTCGGCAATGTTTATGATCTCATTGCAAACTGCTTCCTGTGAGATGGCCCCGAGATATCCAGAAACCCCCATAAAACAGTCAACATGGGGACAAAAAAAAGAAAGAAAGGAAGAGATGTAACATTCCAGACGAAGCACGTAAGTCCAGGGAAACAACAGAGTTGAAGATCCAGGTTAAAAAAATAGATATTCCAGTAGAGGAGTGCAGGAGGGATCCAGGTGTAAGCATGGAAAAAACAGGTAAGATACAGAAGAATTTGGAATTTAGTACAAATATTAAAAAAAAAAAAGGCAGCACCATAAAAGCCTGTAATTAGTGAGTGACTGTTACAAATGGAATAATTTCAGGATAGAAATGCAAGTATGTATCCCCAGTCATGCACTAATATATTAATTTAATCCCACATGTAGGCAGAGTAGAAGTATTCTCTAAATTCCTCTGCTTTTTTTTTTTTTGAGAGGTAAGGGGGTGGCCTGACATTTCTCTTCTACTACAACAGCCACATAATTCTTGTAAATAATGGATCTGGGTCAACCAGGCATTACTCCAGTTTGGACTCTAGAAGTCAGTAAGAATTCCCTTTAGAAAAGCTACAGTCTTATTCAACAGGCATCTTACCACATAGCTCTTTTCAGATTCTGTGAGATCAGGTCCTGCTCTCAATGAATGATGAGAAGGCTGTGATCACCAAGCAAATTATAAGGAGACATTTTAGCAGATGTCACATTGGAAACGGATTCAAAATAAAAGTGTGAGCAAATACACATACCACACCATCACACTCAATGACACCGGATACTCGCGGCCTACGGCCACCGAGTTTCCACAACAACGGTGGGTGCACAGGAGAAAATGCAATGTAGAGAGTTAGAAGCAAGCTTCCAGGCAATGAAATGGGAAGGTGGGAACATGGTTGCAGTGAGGTGAGAATGAACAACACAGGGTCCCCAGGCTGGCAGGAGACCCATAAGGGCTGACTTAGGAAAAGCTGTGTCCCTCCATAACTATACACATTGGTCCCCTCGCTCTCAGCAAGCATTTATGAACCGGATGCTGTACCAAAAGCCAGTTTCAGTTGTCTTGTTGATGGGGAGCCTCCTCTGTCAAAGCAGGTTCATAAAACTATCAGGTATGCTATATTTTGGTACTTACAAAAACTGGAAAAGAGTAATGCTTTTAAAAAACTCCTTGGTAATAGCTGAAGTATCAAACAAGACTGTTCTGCTGGGAAAATGTGCACATGATACACTCTGGCTAAGTATGAGGTGAGTTCAAATATCTCACAGGCAGAGCTTACTTCCAGAAATAGAGCTGTGTGTCCTGACACAGTTATTGAAATGAAACCCTCACTTTTCACTCACCAGCTCAGGTACCACATGCTGACAAGGAAACACAGGTGCCATTATGGTCAAGCAGATCTGTCCTTCAGTGGGGCTCCCATAGGAGAAGCCAGGCCTTCAGTGGAAGAGTGTTTAGAATCGTTTCCCCCAGAGAGGATCCAATTCCAAGCTCTAAGAAGTTTCCCTAAATTAATATTTGAGGAGCTGTCCTTGGAGAAACCCTTGGGTAACATGCAGTAACAGCAACAAGGGACCTTCAAGAAGGGCATTCAGAGATCTTCTGGGTCTGACCCACTTAATGCACAGACAGGAGGGCAAGGGCCTCCCCTGAGGTCACACAGTGGGTTAGGGGTAGACCTGATGCACCTCCTGTCCCACCTGTACCTTCTTTTTCATCCTTGGACCATTTTCTGCATTATGATGTGTGCTCACTGATGTTATTTGCAAGCAGTCCCACAGAAAATGGAGGTAGGCAGGGCAGGATTTGTCATCTTTTCTTCTTTTAAAACCCAAGAAGCTGATGCTCAGAGAGGCTTAGTGCATTCCCCAATGTCACACAGCTAGCAAGAGGTAAAGCTGCTAGGCTGCCCTTTCACTCCACACCATGCCCTCCTGGTCCATCTCCGCCAATGCCCTCATCACTTATCATGCCCTGCAGGTCTACTGTGCATCCTGGGCATCACCTCTACACCCTTGTCCTTTTGGAAAACCTCTTCAGGTTCTCTGAACACCTTCCAACTGCAATCACGTAGACCAGTTCCCCTCGGACTCTAGCAGAGTAAAGGAAGAGACAGAACTACAAGGATCCTTCCACAATGTCTCAGGACCAGCAGGCCTCTGCCAGGTGACCGGGACCTGACTCGGAGAAGCCCTCCTCACCACCCATCCAGCTTCTGAATCAAGGCTTCTGTGTAGCAAAGGAAGGTAGTGACATTTTCAAGCATCCACTAAGTGGGCTTTCATGTGGCAGAAGAATGAAATTTCTTCTGGGGACCTTGAATAGGTGAAATCTACAGACAGATTTTGACTTGACAGAAGGGAACATTTTCTAAAAGTGAGGCTGTCCAATAGAAGGGGCTGCCTTGAGAGGAAACCTGGCAGCTGTTCAAGCCAAGGCTGCCGTATTACCAGCTGGGATATTGTAGAGCATGACTTGTCTAACTTTCATGTATGTCAAAGTCTCCTGGGATCCTGTTTAAATGCAGACTCCGATTTGACACATCTGGGGTGCATCCTGAGACTGTGCACTTCTATTTGGTGATGCCCATGGTCCACAGACCAGCTCTGGGGAGCAAGACTGTAAAGTCCTCAGTTATCTGACATTGAGGTTCTTTGGCTACACTGTGCCGAGACTGGTCTGTCTGGGTCACACCTCATGAAAATAAAAATTCTCATAAAAACCAAGATATTTCGAAACTCCAGCTGATAGCCTGATGACCTCAGGTCTAAGGCAGCATAAAGGATATGGACAATCTCTTGACGATCTCCACAGCTTACAAACGCCTCCTAGCGTCATTAAATCAACTTAATCCTAAAGAAGTGATTAGAATTGATCAGCTAGCAAATACTAGTTGCTTAAATGAGGTTGGAAGAATGAGGTATAGTGAAAAAGGACCTGATATTTATTATCCTTTCTTTTGTAAAGCACTTTTTTTTTAAAAGCAGCTATCAAAGCACATATAGGTCCATTACCTCATCTGACTTTTATAACAACCCTTTGACTTAGGGAGAGCAGAAAAGGAAATTTTAAGTCTCAGGAAGTTCTGGAGATGTGCACAAGGTAGGAAAGCCCCTGAGTACTGAGACCCTCAGTGCCCAACTGCCACATACCACCCCCTTCTTGAGTCCCGATGGGATAGTCAGCAGAATGATGATGGCAACACCAGCGTCTGCTGCTTCTGGAAATGGGCACTGTAACTTCTTGAATCCTTTTTCTTTATGGACAAGGTACAGTGTGCAGTAATAGATACCATCCAATCAAGGACCCACAGTACTGGAGGGAACACTGACCCAGCTAATAACTTTCTTGGTCTCAGGTCATATCCAAATCAGAGGACAATCATCACAGACTTGAACATCTGGACAGACTTAGCATCTAGTATAAACTTAACTCATCTCCAAGAGGTAGAGATGACTTGGTTCCTTATTTAAAATTTGTGGAATGAAGGCAAGATAAACATTTATCTTATTAGCTAAGATTAATTTTCTCTGTACGTGAAGTGCATTCCTTAGATTTAAATCAAATATCTCATATTGCTGAAATGTAAACCAGTGTGTTTCGTGGGGCGGTGGGGGTGTGGCATGTAGACCCTCAGTGGAGATGGGACCATTGACTTCCATCACAGAGATCTGCCCTTCACTTCAAAGGCTATTCCTCTTTTTTTCTTCTACGCATATGTTTTTTCTTTCCCTGGCCCCATTTTCTACTTGTGTGTCGCTTTATATATCTCTTCCTCTAAACCTCTGCTGTCCAAAATGGTAGGCGGTAGCCATGTGTATCCCCTGAACGCTTGAGATACAGCTGGTATGAAATGCGCTGTGTGAAAATACACACTGGATTTCAAAAACTTAGTACAAAAACAAAGGATATAAAATGTTTCATTAATAGTTATTATATTGATTATATGTTAAAATACTATTTTAGATGTGTAGGGTTAAACTATATTATTAAAATTAATTTCACCTGTTCCATTCTTCTACCAGAAAATTTAAGATGACATATGTGACTCATTGCATTCCTACTGGACAATGCTACTCTGAACCCTCCCTGGGTCCTCAGAGTCTGCCCTTATTTAAGGCTAAAAGTAGACAAAGCTCTAACCAGGACTTCATCCAGGATAGAGAATAAAGGGTGTACTACCTCACGTTAAGAACAGTTTGGACTCTCAGAGATGCATTCCACTTCCTCACATGTTTAGAAGAACAGTCACCAGCCAACATGTGAGCACGCACGCGCTACTCCACCCCCCTTCCAATCAACTGTAAGCAGGTGATAGTTACTGATCCAGAAACTGCTTTTCTTCTGTATTTGCATATATTCACACAGGTGGCCCTCCCTGGCCTACAGCACTTGTTTCATTCTCCCCCAGTGAGGAATCCTGCATGCTTCCGGGCTCTATTGCCCTTCTATCTTCAGTTCTTAGAAGTCCCTCAGAAATCTAGCCTCCCTGGGGCTATTAATCCCTCTGGATCCACAAACACCCGGTGCACCTACAAGTTAACTAAGCATCCTGTTCCAGCTTTGGGTGTCTGCCAAGCCCAAAATAAATTGTCCACAGGGTCAAGAGCAGCAGGAAGTCCTGGAGAGGTGGAAACAGAGAAACTCAACTTCAGTGTGGCTACAAGCCCCTCTTAGAAATACACGCTCCCCTAACCTGCTCTGCTCTCAGAGAGCATTCCTCTGCTCATCTCGCATCTCAGATCTTCTCAGCTCTTCATACCCCACCACACTGGCCTCCAGGTGGTGGGGGAACAGTGGCCCGGAAGTGTGGAAATCTGGGTTCCAGGCCAGGCTTTCACATTAATTTATTGTCTTTTGAGCAAATGTTTAACTTCTCTGGACTTCAAGTTCTTAGTAAAACAAGAGGATCGGATGTGATTTACATAAATGTCCTTTCTGGCTCTAATGTTCTAACACAATAATTGGAGTGTGCGCACCCTGAGAAGTGAGAGCTAGGACTGGGAAGGGCTGGCCT